TGGCCACGGCCCTCCTAAGGGCTTTCCTCTCTCTCCAGGCTGACCGGCATACTGGGGGAAGCCGGGGCTCCAGGGTCCTGTGGGGACTTCACACTGAGGTTTCCCAAGAGTCTGGTTGTGAGCGGATCTCAGAGACCTTGGAAAACCTAGCTGGATTGCTTTGGGTGTTTATGTTTAGATAGAAATTACACAGAAATCTCAGTATTTCTGTAGGTGGGTCCCTAGCTATTCTAGCCAAAGGGCTGGCAGCCCCAAGTCTGACTTCTGGCCGACCTCAGTTGCCGCTGTGAGCCAACTCAGAGCAGTGAGGGTGCTTCCAGGGGCAAGTGGGGTACCTGCCCTTGCGGCCCCATGTGCAGGGAAACTGCCTCCCTCAAAAATAGTAACCAAAGTAATTTCTCTGCGAAAGGCTGTTGCTCTAGATTTATTAGGAACATTATACAGCAAATATAAAATGTTTATTGTGCCAGACTCTATTCTTAGTGTTTTATGTATGTTAATTCATTTAATCTTCCCCACAGCCCTTTGAGGAGGGGGTCTGTTTTTCTCATTTTAAGATAAGAAAACAGAGGCACCACGAAGTTAAATAGCTTGGCCAAGATTCCACAGCCAGTAAGTGGCAGGGCTGAGATCCCAAGTCATAGTCAGGCCCAGAGTCCTCGGCCCTAACCACCCTGCAGTTATTGCCAAGCTGATCTTGGTGTCACATTAACTGAGTTTGGCTGGTTTAGCAGTGAAGCTACCGTGTATTTTCCCTTGAGTGCTTGGTAATACTGAGAAGAAAGTGGCTGTGCCTCATTTGCATGCTCCTGGCTCAGACACCTGAATTTCTCGGTCAGGGTCAGAGGGAAGAGACTTTAACAGTCAGTTACACTTTGCAAAAGCTCTCCACTAAAGTGGTTAAATAGAGTAATATGTAGTGCTCATTTCCAGAACAATAGCTAACAAAATTAATGTTAGCTACACTTTGATGTCACATTTTCAAAACTCCTGAGCCATTACTAAATAGGTTCTAGGAAACTCCTCTGTCCAATGCATAGTTGCTGATCAGATTGATCCTCTGTATAAGCTGGTGACCGGGACATCTTCCACAGGCGTGTGACGGCACACTTGTAATCTGTCTTCCTCAGCAGTTGGTGTCTCTAGAACCATCTAGTAAAAAGGTGTTTTCAGTTAGCTGTGGCAGAGACTTGGGTTCCCTTTCTGCTTCTGGCTTCTATCTCCTCAGCGCATTAGAATTTTACTGAAAAGAACGCCAGGAAATTAGTGCTGCCAGAAGATGCTGACTCAAGTGAAATCTAGGATTTCCTTTCTGAAATCAGAATAGGTTTTCTGTGTTGCTTTGCCTTAATAGGATTTCTACCTCTTCTGATAGGTGCCTTGGCATCGTTTATGAACAGAAGTTTTATTTCACTTTTCTTGAGGAATTCAAACCTTATAGCTTGCTTCTGCAAGGGAGTTGGGAGTTACAAGCCTTCTGTCTACACCTGAAGCTGTTTGCTAAACAAGGTGGCCTATCCTTTGGAACATAGCGTCAGTTTTAAAAAAGACATTTAAAAACATAGAGATCTCCCACAGGGTTGTTGTACATTTTTAATGAGATGAAGAGAGGGGCATTATTATGTTCTCAAGAGAGCCTTTTTTCTGTCTGTTCACATGGGATAGAATAGTGTGGGAGAAATACCTGAGGCTTTGGACTCCATTTGACCCGGGTTTGAATCTTGACCCCACTGTCACTCTCGCCTGTGGCTATGAGCCTCCACCTCCACATCTGTAAAATGAGAGTTAGAATGCTACAATTATCTGTGAGTAAAGAGATCAGCCATAGTTAACTAGGCTAGAAATGACGGCAGCAACTTGATTATAAGATGTCTGTACACTCTGCTCTTTCTAGCCCATAATTTATTAAAGAGAGACTGGTAACTCCTGTGTAATAACGAGTGTTAGGGGGGCAGCAGATGGTCAGTGGTAGCTGTGGAGTGTAGGGAACGGCTGGAGCCTTACAGTTGGACGGCTTTTCACCTTGACTCTGCCACTCGTTAGCTGAGTTACCCTCGATAAGTCGTTTCACTTCTCTGAGCTTTAATTCCCCCTTTTGCAGAATGGAGAGATGTTACTGTCCTCTTAATATCTCAGAGCTATTGTGAGCATCAGATGAAATAAGGGAAAGTGTTTGTAAACCAGAAAGTGTGACTGCTGCAGAAAGCCCTGGCGGGTGAGTACTTTATTGAAGGACCCTGGAAGCACCTGGGGGGAGCCTCAGCCTGCCCCTGAGGCCCCCCTACGTCCGGACACCCGTATATGTAAGTGTTTATCTCAGGATGCATCTTAGATGAAGGAGGTCAACCCATGGTGGTGTTGCAGGGTATTCACACAAGCAAGAGATGGCACACGTGTTCTGGGAAGAATATTTTCATAAGTTTCTTTGAAGGTGTAAGTTGTGCCTGGTTAGCAAATTCCACTTGTGTATGAAGCTGGAGATGGGCAAAGCTAATATAGGGGTTTACTGGAAGGAGTGAGAGGCTGGTAGGGTGAGGGTGGGCAGCAAGAATGTGGGGGGTAGAGCTGGGGTTTGGAGATGGTCTTCCACTTACTGTCACCAAACCTGGTAACTCAGCACCCAGTGTCTGGGGCGGCATCACCAGCCATTGTGCTAGTGCAGTGTCAGGGGTTCCTCTGGCCCAGCTTTGACGCTGTGTTTTGCACACTTCTGCCTGTGTGCAAAGGTCAGAAGTCTAAGTGGGCATCTCTTTGAGAAACCTCTGTAATGAATGTGTGAGCAGGGAATTCCTTTCATGTCCTCATTGCCCATCCCGCGGCCCAGAGAAGGAGACTGGCACGTCGGGGACGAGACCTCCTCAGCCCTGCCGTGTGCTCTGGCCCCTCGAGTCACCATCTGTTTGAAATGGAACTGAAAGACCAAAGGCTGCCCTCTCACTGGGTGGGGTGTCCTTTCAGCACAGTGGGGGCTCCTTGCCGGGGGGGGCTGCACGTCGGGGTCGGGCGCTAGTGCTCAGCACCGAAGCCATGAGCCTTGCAGCAGAGGTAGACCTCTAGTTCTCTGAAGAATGCCCAGGAAGCCCCAGGGAGACCGTTGCTCGAGGGACGGATGGCAGACACAGCCTGTGGGCTTCACAAGCCCATCCCTCTGCAGCAGGTGAGCCAGAGGCCGGGTGGAGGGCCTGGCTGGCCTCACAGTGGTGGCTCTGTCCCGTGCTCCCCGTGGGACCGGGGGCCTTACTGGCTCTGGGCCTGCCCTGACCCGTCGGGGAGTGAATGGCGACCTGCAGCTGTTCTGCAGGCTCTCCAGGTTGTTCGCTGAACTAGCGGAAACACCTTTTCCCCGCTTGTCCAGGCAGCATTGCCTACTGAGAAGAACACTTGCCTGGGAGCCAGGTGCACCCGGCCTTAGGGCAGTCACTTTAGACCCCTTCCAGCCCCCAGTTTAGAACTGAGTGGGCCCCCATCCAGAGGAGAGGGGAGGAGAAGCGGCCACACTCGCCCCTTGGATGCTGTGGCCCCGTCCTGGTGGGAGTCCCCGCTGGCCCTGTGTGCTTGGAGCGAAGTCAGGAAGGGGTGGGGACGGCCTTTGCTGGTCTCAGCACCGTCCGTCTGGGCCCCACCTGAGTGATCAGCGGCCCGTGAGGGAGGGGCAGGCTGCCTGGGGGACGTGGTGCTTCTCCCCACAGCCCTGGGAGCCGTCCGCACCCTCTGCCGGCCTCCCCAGCCCTGCCCTGGCTCCTGGCCTCCTCCAGCCCTGTCTGCACTAAGCCGGCCCTTTCTCTCTGCAGCCCTTGCTAGAGTCTCCATGGCTGCTGGCTGCTGGCTAAGGGAGCCGGGCTGCCCCCACGCTGCCCCCTCCTAGCCCCGTGCAGGCCTTTCCATCCCTCTGTTACGCTGAGCACAACTGTGGTCCCTTCATCAAAAGATTCAGACTGAGCCCTGCAGCCGCTCTGCCTGCAAGCCAGTCGCCATGGCAACCAGCATCCCCTCCTTCCGGGGAGAGAAGATGGAGAAGATGGCTGTTCTCAGGGAGGGCTTGTTAGTCCTCGCCAGTCTCCGCCAGCCAGCCTGCTGTGTCCAGGCCCCTCCTTCCTGTCAGCTTTAGGAACCTCCATGCGTGGGACCAACGGTCCCTCAGCCGTTAGCTTTCAGGTTCACTTTACCTGAGGAGGACAGGCAGGAGGAAGTGAATCCAAATGAATTCAGACTCTTTTCTACCTTAAAATTGGATTTCATGGGGAACGGCTATCTGCTGCCCGCAGGTAAACAAGGACGTGCGTGAGCACAGGGGTGTGAGACCCTGTGCACCGTATTCTCAGCAGGGTGGGATGGCAGAGCGTGAGGTCGTCGAATAACGATTAGGTGCAGGTAGCTGAGGGCGCAGGGCGTTGCCCGGCACAGAGAGCGGCATTTCAGAGGAGCGCCTGATTGCAGGGTGGCGGCGTTTGGTGCTGTCTCCCATTGTGGGAAAGGGGTGGGGTGGTCCTACAGTCATGCTGTAGGGTGAGCACTGGTACCCCTGCTTCAGAATCCGTGTGGGGGTCACACCGACTCCACAGAGACTAAGTGGTGGCTTGGGGGATTGGCAGAGTCCTGGAATGGCAGGATTCCCTCTGAACACAGCCTCGGGGGGACTTCTGGCTGATACCCGAGAGTAACTGGCTGGCTGCCATCGCTGTGAACCCCAGAAGTGCTGCTGTCTGGAACAGGACCTTAGTCTTCTCAGGGGGTCAGAAACGTGTATGGCACAGGTCACTCCCAGCCTCCCGGGGGACTCGCACTTTGATGGGGGACAGTGTTCCCCAGGGAATGGTCAAACTGTGCCCACTGCTGGCTTTGGCACAGGGAGCCTTGGGCTGTGTGGTGCTGAGTCCTCAGACACCCCCCTCCCTTCACTCAGTCCCAGCCTGAGCCAAGGGACCCCCTGTCTTGAATGGGAGCTCTGCATCTCATTCTCAGAAACCGAATGTGTTTAAACCAGACTTTTGTCTTTCCAGCTTCTCTGCAGGTGGATATTGTCCCCAGCCAAGGGGAGATCAGCGTCGGGGAGTCCAAGTTCTTCTTATGCCAAGGCAAGTGCCATGTGCCCGCTGTGTTCTAGAACCCCCCCCCCCCCCCCCCCCCCCCCCCCCCCCCCCCCCCCCCCCCCCCCCCCCCCCCCCCCCCCCCCCCCCCCCGCCCCCAGCAAAGCAGGAGGAGCAGGCCCGCAGACGCCGGGACCACCCATCCCCCAGCCTGGGAGGCTCCTGGCGCTGCTTTGCTCCAGCGCCAGTAGGACGGCCTGAGCCCAGGCAAGCTCTCAGGGCTTCTTTTTCCCCGCACACGGTGGCCCCAGCCTACGGCGTGTGTCACCCGGACTTCCGCCTGGGATGGAGGACGCCTGGAGTTTTCTCAGGAGAGTCAGCATGACTCACAGAGTAGAAATCACCCCAGGCCTGCTCTGCATGTGTCCAGAATTCTGTAAAAGGCGTGGACAACAGTGTCAGCTCAGAGATCATGCTCCAGTGGGTCAGCGTAAGGCTTAGTTCTCAGAGCTCCCCTGAACAAGAAACTCCAAGGTCTAAGCCTGGAACCAAGCTGAGAACTGGACCTCTTTGCTGTGAGGGCACACCTAGGTTCTGCAGGTCTGTCCTGGACGGCCCTGTCATGTGCCTCGGCTCCCCCCATCCCTGAGCTCTGGAGTGGTCAGATCTGCATCCTTGCTTTTTATGTAGAAAATATGCCTCATTCCACAGCTCAGATAATTATCATGACTTGCCCTGCAAAGGAAAAGGCTTCATTCACATTATGCTATGGATTCTCTAACTGTGACATGGCTGGAATTTGGAGCACAGGAGAACCAGGAAAAGGCTGGGTGAGGTGTAAACATTTAGGCAGGTTTCTGCAGGGAGGGGCCTTTAAATGCGGCCATGGTTTGCACTGCATGCAGTGGCCTGTGGCCGCGGGAAGTGTCGCCCCAGCCGCGCCCTCATTGCAGCCATCTGAGTGATCGGGAGATGCCGCAGAGCCCGCAGCGCTCCTTGAAGGCAGCAGTGTTCATTGAACACATGACGGGCCCGAAAGGCTCTTCATCTCTATACCGAGCATCTGTGCAGGGCCGGGAGGGGGGCCGGGATGGTCCCGGGAGGTTGCTGTGTGAAGAGGCGGGGCAGAGCCTCGTCTGTGGGAGCCGAGGGCCGTGTGCCAGCTCGGTGTCGGGCACAGCCAAGCCGGCCATCGGCCCCCTCGGTGCCTGGGAAAGGACACCTGAGCCGTCCCGGCCACCCTCTCTGCAGCATCTAAGGAGGTGAACATGTGTGTTTGAGGCACGGGCACTGAAACGACAGCTGTGCCAGTACGTGCGGCCAGGGGCTCTAATAAAAGCGGTGGAATTCACGCTCCTGAGCCAACCAGTGTCTTGTTGGTGCCCAGGGGACCATAATCTAAGCCCTCAAAACGCGCTGATCGGCTGGCTCAGACCAGCTAGGCCCCTGAGCTCAGATCCCCTGCGTACCAGCCCCCGGGGCCCCCCGTCCTGTGAGGCCACAAGCTGCCAGCTTAGTGCCTGGTACACGGTAGGTCCTCACAAGCATCCGCTCCCTCCCCTCGTGGAGGATGGGGCCACTCTGCCGAGCCCGGCCCAAGTGGTGGTCAAGTTCTTTGCACTGTAGCTGGTGCTGCATGTGGACCCCGTTCCATTCCGACGTGAGCAGCCATCCCTCCCAGGCCACCAGGCCTGATGATTGCTGTTCATGAGCCCTTCCTGGGTCCCTGCTGTCACCCTGGGGGGCGTTGCCTTTTCAACCTCAGTGGTTTGAAGAATCTCTTCCTCCTCAGTGGCAGGAGATGCCAAAGATAAAGACATCTCCTGGTTCTCCCCAAACGGAGAGAAGCTCACCCCGAACCAGCAGCGGATCTCGGTGGTGTGGAATGATGACTCATCATCCACGCTCACCATCTACAACGCCGACATCGACGACGCAGGCATCTACAAGTGCGTGGTCACCAGCGACGATGGCAGTGAGTCAGAGGCCACGGTCAACGTGAAGATCTTCCGTAAGTCTCTCCTTCCTGTTTGTACTTCCTGTCCTGCCCTCCCGGCCAGGAAGGCGCATGGGCAGTGGACGAGGGTGGGGACAGAGGGCAGTTGCAGACTGGCTGAGGGCCTGACGGCACCCTTCTCCCCTGCCCCCACACCCACCAGTCTTTTCTGAATTGAGCTGAGAGCTCCAGCATGTCCCCAAACAACTGTGGGCCAACTCAGCACTCACTACCCTGGTCCACGCTTGTCACAGCACCCACGACTGGCCTCCATTCTCTAAAATCTGACTCACACGGTTCCCAGAGAGTAGTCACGTTCTCCTGTCCCTTCCCCAAGTGTTCACCGACTTGTGCAGTTCAGATTTTCCCCTGCTGCTTCACTGTCCCCTGCTGGTAGTGGAGTCTAAAGGCTGGGCAGGGGTGGGAATTGTTACCTGGACACTCTGAACACTGTGCAGAGTGGGCAGTTCCTGTGGACACCGGACCCCAGTGTGGAGGTGGCATCTCACTACCTGTCGCCATGCATCCGTCCCACTGGCCGTTGTACCGGTGGGTGATAGCTAATGGAAAGTATTGATTGCCACAGAATTTATTGCCATTAAGCCTGCTTTTCTATGGTTCCGTTCTTCAAAATTCTCTCTGCTACAAGAAGGTTAGGGCTGGAGTGGGAGACAGAAAAGGGGGCTGTGACTCCTTTGGGTAGAGCAGGTGGTCCCCCCACTCGTTCTGCCTGTGCGTCGCTTCACTGGCCCCATCCCCGGCAGGGGACCCTTGGTGGAGACACACCTTTCCCTCCAAAGACCCTTTTCTGCACAAAGCGTGGTAAATGGAGCCTCAGTGACTAGACACTGACATGTCTCCCACATGTGCCAGCTGCTCCACTGACACCTCTGGCCGCTCGCCGGGTGAGACCCTCTCTTGGACTGTATGTATAACGGACGGCCCGGAACTCAAATTCAGGAGGCATGGTGCCAGTGGGAGGGCATCTCTGAGAGAGAACCAGCTGCTTCCCCTCACTCTTCTCTCGCTCATTTTCTAGAGAAACTCATGTTCAAGAACGCGCCGACGCCACAGGAGTTCAGGGAGGGGGACGATGCCGTGGTTGTGTGCGATGTGGTCAGCTCCCTGCCCCCCACCATCATCTGGAAACACAAAGGCCGAGATGTCGTCCTGAAAAAAGATGGTGAGACCTGAGCTTCCCAGCAGCTGCCTTCTCCCCAGGCTGCCACATGCCCCCGGGTTTCCGCCCCTGCCAGCCTCCGGGGCATCCCAGCCTAAGCTCAGATTCCAGTGCCCAAACCGTCCGCCGTTTCCAGGTCCCGGGTGGGCGTGCATCTGCACGCCAAAGAAAAAGACAGATTTCCAACTGACTATTCGTGGCTCTGTGTCAGAGCCGGGGACGCCCGGTCTTAGGTCGGCTTAAAGCCCCGCCCCGTCAGACCGAGACTAGACCCGAAAGGCTCGGCATCCTGCCTGCAGGTACCAGAGTTCTCCGACAGGTCTGTGGACGAATCTGCCTCTTGTGTCTTCTAGTGCGATTCATAGTCCTGTCCAACAACTACCTGCAGATCCGGGGCATCAAGAAAACAGATGAGGGTGCTTACCGCTGTGAGGGCAGGATCCTGGCGCGGGGGGAGATCAACTTCAAGGACATCCAGGTCATCGTGAACGGTGAGGGGACATGTTTGTCCTGCATCGCTGCCACCTTTTCTCCCCGCTGACGCGGATCCTGTCCTGACTCGCTCATCCATCTCGGCAGAATCCCCCTCACTCCCTTAGCCTCTGGCTTGTTGTTGTGATTTTTTTTTTACATACACTGGCCTTTTGGGTTTCCCTCCACTATGGGAACTTTTTATAAAGTCCTTGGGTGCCCCCCGGTCGCCCTGCAGCCCTGGAAACCCCCCCCCCTGCTTACTGACAAGCTCTCCCTCGTCCTGCACTGGCCTTTGCCGCTCCTGTGAATCATGAAGTCAGTCCCCTCGTTCAATGTTCAAAGAAAAGAATATAATCAATTCAGGCCTCAGAACAGTCGGAATCATGGTCCGTGGGCTTATTAATCTTAATTTGCAGTGTCAAATAAACACACCCATGGAATCGATCTGACATTTACGAGATGTTTACAGGAAATTATAATGTCAGTACTAAGAAAATAAGTAAATCATGGTTGAATGTTTGGCTGTCGCTCCGTCCTTCTTGCCAGACTCCCCTCCTCGCATCCTTTGGTAAAAACAGTTTGTGCGGAGAGTTGTTTGTGACAGTCCCAGAGAAATGTCACGCTGGTGAGCTGATGCGTTGCAAAGCGGTGTTAACCATTTAATCACCCGCAGCAGGCATTTCCAACTTCCTCCAGTAACCAGAGCCCCCTTTTGAGTGTCAGACTCAACCAGCCGTGGTACTTGTAAGTTTAGTAAGTAAGCACTGACTGGGAAAACTGATGACAAATAGCAACTACAAATTGAATTCCATTTTAAAATGAATAAAACTTATTCATAGAGCTTCTAAACCTATATTACTGAAAACAGTATTATTATATATGGTTATACACACAGCAGAGTTATGTAGTGTTGAAAACACTAGGGCGTGAGTTATTTATCCAGTTTCAGTGATCATGTGTACGCTCCTGAATTTAGGTGCCTTACACTAACTCTGCAGCTGCCCAGGACCCTGGGCTGCCACCCTCTGACCTGGGGTCCCCTGGAAGTGCCTCTTCTCCAGGCCATTGGGCCTCCCCAGTTGACCAGCCACCCTGACAGCCCTCCTTCCCTGCAGTGCCGCCCACCGTCCAGGCCCGGCAGAGCGCAGTGAATGCCACCGCCAGCCTTGGCCAGTCCGTCACCCTGGCATGTGATGCTGAAGGCTTCCCAGAGCCCACCATGAGCTGGACCAAGTAAGAACCTGGCTGGGGCCTTGTATCCCGGACTAGCAGAGGAGGGGACAGCATAGGGCCTGCTCTGTGTTGGTGTCTAGGAGGAGGTACGGGCTACATGCAGATCAGCTCCATCTGCCGGTGGGCTCCTCCCGTAAGGCTGCCCTGCCTTGTGTGTCAGATCCCTTCGTTTCCGGTTGATGGAGCAGAACCCGGGGCATGGCCTTGGAGGCCCTCTTGGGAATTCTTGTGGGTGCGGGTCACAGCCCTTGGACAGACCAGAGATCTAGGGAGAGGAATCTAGTGGAAGGGTTGGTGGGGGGGCCGTGAGGAAGTACAACTTGGCATCCTAACTTCCTGTGAAGACTGAATCTTTCCCAAAGGCTCAGTCTGCATTTTACAGAAATTAAAAACAGACATCTTACTTCTGTGGTCAAAGTCAGGGTGCCTTTCCCTTGTGCTCCTGCAGGGATGGGGAGCAGATAGAGAGCGAGGAGGCCGAGAAGTATGTCTTCAGCGACGACAGCTCCGAGCTGACCATCAGAAAGGTGGATAAGGGTGACGAGGCCGAGTATGTGTGCATCGCCGAGAACAAGGCTGGGGAGCAGGACGCGTCCATCCACCTCAAAGTCTTCGGTGAGTGCCGCGAGGGCAGTGTCGCTGTTGTGCCGCAGCGACTCTTACCCAACACGCTCCGTCTGGCAGCGAGACCCCAGGGGTCCACTCCGCCTGGAGTCCATCCCCAAGTCGACCACTTCTTTCCAGCCCCACCCCCGAGCCCTAGTCCAAGCCATCCTCCTCACTGGCCAGGGAGACAGCCTCCTTCCTACCTGGTCTCCCTGCCCACACTGGTTCCCTTCGGCCTCTCCTGCCCGCAGTAGCCAGAGGGACCTGACTCCCCTGTGGAGAATCTCCCCATGGCTCCCTGCACAGCCAGAATAAAAATCCAGGCTGCAGGACCAAACCTGAACTTAGCCCCTGCCTTCCTACCGAGCCTCACCTTTCTCCACTTTGCTCCTGGACTGTGCGACCCCTCAGGCCTCCTTTCTGCGCCTCAGTCACACCAAGCCTGTTCCCTGTCTCGGGGACGTCACACTGGATGTTTCTTTGCTCAGGGACGCCTCTGAGCTGCCCCCTCTCACCACCGTTCAGATCTCAGCTCAGCCGGCCTTCCCAGGGGGCCCTTCCTTGCTGCACCAGCGAACGCAGCCCCCCCATCACCATGACCACCCACCCCCACGAACCCCTCCCGTCAATCTCACTGTGCCCTTCACGTATGTGTGTGGACTCCAGGGTGCTGGAGCTCTGGCTGCCTGATTAGTTGCTTTGTCTCTGGCATGGCCAATAGGGCCAGACTCATAACAGGCCCATTGTAAATATTAGCAGCCAACTGCTGGGCTGCCCCTCTCTCCCTTTGCTGCTTCCCCTAGTCTGTAATGCTGGCCATGAGAAGAGACCCCGCATCTCTACTCAATCTGGTCTTCAGAAACTCGGTGAACTTCATTCGTTTAGAACTGAAATGTATATTGACCTGACCTTGAAGAAAGGATATGGCAGAGAAATATTTAATGTAGTCACTTCTCTACTCTTTTCTGCTCATCCTTCAAAATAATCCAGATATGCTGGCCCACTGCAGATGGGCTTCAAGAGCACAGATGCTGGAGGGACAGCTCTGGCGGGTGCAGCCACGGGTGGTTCCAGTGTCCACTGGGGAGCCTACAAAGCTGGACCTTTGTGTTCAGCCTGATTGGAAGAACTGACCTATGTTGTGAACACAGACCTTTGACATTCAAGCACTTACATGCAATTGGACCTGCTAATCACAGAGGAATCCTATTTATTTATTAATGGTGACTCTGTTTAGAAACAGTGTATCAGTTTGGTTCAAATGACTGTCTGCACTTGAGAGTGAAAACCACGCTTCCTGGAACAAATTCCTCACAGTCGTGTCTGTGAGTCAGGTGGTTCTTCCTGGCCACTCTGATTTTAAGTCTTTCCACGCTCTAGAGAACCAGACGCAATGGTTAACGTGTGCGTTCATGTAACAAATGCTTCCTGAGCACCGTCGTGGCTGGTACAGAGCTGAGCAAGAGAGGACGCTCTGACCCTGAGGAGCACAGAGAGGGAGATAAACATACGAGCATATAAATTACAATAGATGATGTCAGTGAACAACATCGGCATGCCCACTGTGGGCGCAGCCATTGCCAAGGTCACAGAGATGAGTGACATGCACTCTGTTCTCATCGGTGGGCTCACAGGCGAACATAAGTGGCTGGCACTGACATCGTTAATGACAGTCCATTATGACGACTTCATAATAGCGATGTGTACAGTGTTTCATGTGAAAAGAAAATCTCTGGTCCCACATGACGTGTTCACAAATGATGTCTGTCTCACACACAGCATTCCCAGATGAGGAAGGGTGGATGTGCATTTTGGGCCACATAAGTGTACATGTAGGAGAGCATGTGCTGGATGTGGGCTCCTAGGGATGGGGACCCACAGATAGACCCCTGGCTCCTAGAACAGTGCCTGACACATAATAGGTGCCAGTATTTGAATAAATGGAGGAATAGCAATTAGTCTTAGATGAACAAAATATAATGTGTGTGGTGTGGAGATGAGCCTGGAAGTGTGTGATCGTCACTTGTCTCAAGAAACCGTTAGACGTTAGCCCCGTAGGGTCACAACAGCACCACCCGACACGAAGTGAGTCCCGTGGTGTGCCAAGCACTGTGTGTAGTACCATCCAGGAGCTGGCTTTCTTAATCTTCATGGTACCCTACAAATGAGGGCACAGAGCACAGACAGGCAGGTACCCTGCCCAGGGAGCCAGGAGGCAGCCCCAGGGGCTGGCTCTTGTCCCTTCCCCGCGTCAGCAGTGGTGCTTCCTGCTTCCAGGCTGACACACACCACATGGAGGACCAGCAGCCCTGAGATCAGTGTGCCCGACCCTCACCACCGTGGACAACATGGCTTCTTATACAAGGGCACTCACTCCACCATGTGGTCGAGGACAGAGCTTGGCTTCTCTTCCGGCCTCTGGTGGTGATGGCTGCCCGAGAAGGAAGTGTGGGTAGTGGGTCAGGAGCCATGTGGGGCCAGTGTGGGCATTTGGGTAAGGGCTAGGGAAGGAGGGAACGAGGCAGGGAAGGCAGGATGCAGGGATGGCGGCAAGGCAGGCCTCACTTCCCCCCACCCCCTCGGCCCTGCGTCCTCCCAGCAGAACATGCACACACACGCTGTCTACCACCACACCGTCCGCCCCAAGACGGCAGCTGGGGATGTATGGCGGGCAGCCCAGTAGAGCCACACTCCTGCAGATCAGAGGCTCACAGGACTGGGTCCCACCCAGCCCTCACCCAAACGGAGCAGCGTCCCGTGTGGTGCCCAGAAGAGAGGCCGCTCAGCCTCCCTGAACGTCCCTGTACCTCGTGTACGCCCCCCTCGCCCTGTCCATCTCCTGCTCTTCAACCCCGCTCTCTGCACCTCCTCCTGCCCCCCCACTGGACTGGTAGTAGGTGAGACAGGGCTACTTCCCTCTCCCTGTCTCTCCCCCACCCTTTCCGGTTGGCCTCTGGGGCCAGCGCTGCGGGGAGAGATGGGCCAGGTGCCCCGGCCGAGTCTGCAGCACTGAGGTAGAGGAGCCACAGACCCTGCAGCTTGGGTCGTGAAGAGGCGCTCGGAGCTCCTGTGGCTTCAAGAAGGGGAGGCACTTCATATGTCGGGGCATAACTAAATCAGAAGTTGCACATTCTAGCATGCGTGGCCCTCATTATCAGCCAGGAGCTCTCTGTACCTTCCTGTACACTTGGCAGTGAACTTCCATTGCTCCTCTCCCCACAGGCCCCTCTGAAGAAGTGTTTTTGTCTCCACATGCTCTCACTGTGCTCGCACAGATGCTCTTGAGGCCTCCTGCTGCTGAGCACGGACGCAGGCCCACCCGCAGGCAGAAACTGCTCAGCTGACCCCTTAGGACCAAAGCAGCCCTTATGAGTCAGAAGAAAGGAGGGCACACCTGGTCACAGGCAGCATCTCCATTCAGGGAAGCCGCACTCTGGAGCCCTCCTTGGGCCAGGCTTGCAGCAGCCTGGGTCAAGTGACAGTAGACAGGCTGGCCCTTAGTGGCAGACGCAGAGCCATGGACCTGCCGGAAGAGAGCAGGCACACTTGGAAAGCACAAGGACAGCAGTGCTCACAGAAGGGTCCCCGGGGGGAGGTGCAGGGGACAGTCCGGGGCATTACGTCCCGCAGCAGCAGGTGGGGAAAGGCCAGGTCCAAAGGCAAGGGCCTGCATCAGAGGGCAGTTCGATGGTGCAGGTACCATGTACAGGGTCAGCCTGGAAAGCTGCCTCTAGGTGCCAGTTCGCAGAGGGAGTGACCCCGCCCTGTCACCATTTGCCCAGTGTGCTCCTCTTTCTAGTGGAGCTGTTCAGAGCGCCCATTTGCACTCAAGAGTGCCCTGATTTGGGCACAGATCATACTGACAGCCTATTTCCAAGGTTGCTGTCTAAGCTCTCGGTTGGATCTGACAAGAGCCCAGCTCCTCGTGAGAACAAATCCTTTCCTCCTCACCCTCCACGGGCTGTGCAAGGCCAGCGCTGTTAGGGGGCCTTTAATAAGGACACACTGCCCTTTTCTAAGGACATATGGTGCACGCTTTGTGACCTTGGACGTGGAGCCGCCAGACGGGAACTAGTGGGCGCTTACTGCCCAGTCCCCTTTGACCTGGTGCCAGGACAAAGCGCTGCGCGTTGGGTGGTCCGCAGTCACTGTCTGCAGTGCAGCGCCCACTAGGTTTCAGGAAGCCTAGGAATCCCGCCTCCCGACTAGCCTCTGGTCCCCAGAGGACGTGCTCGGTTTAGTGAGGTCGGCTGCAACTTCACCCTGTAAAGCCTCCTGTTCAAGGGCACATCGTACCCGCCCCTCCCCGGATGAGTCATGGCTGCCTCGAGGGCCCTGCCTGTCAAGATAGACACAGAGCCCGCCTGCCAGGCAACCCCCCTCGTAAGGGCTCTGTCAGTTCGATCTGTGATCATCTGGCCACTCTGGACTGAGGTGGGCCCGTGTGCGGCTGTCAAGCAAGGACAGGCTGTCGGTTCAGACTAACTTCAGAAGAATATTTGAACTAAATGGGTAATATTATATAGAAGCAGATACTTGCTACAGAGATGCACGGCTCCCTCGCTGTTTTCTGTTTATTAAAGCTTATTCCAGGGCCTCAGCTTCAAGGATGTGCCCAGGCATATACTGATTAGCCTACTAGGGTTACTGTGTGAATTTGAATATAAAGGAAATGCAGTTCTTTCAAAAGTTGCCCATAATCCTGATTTGTTTATTTATTGTTTATCTGGCCTTTTCCTCCATTAGTGAAATAAGTCACACTTGTGCAGTTTTATCTCTTCTCTTCTATGAAAGGTTTGGCAATTTCGGAGTATAATTGTTGTAAACTGGGAAAAGTCAGTTTTCCCTAATGCTTTTACATTTAACTCCACTTTCGTGCTTGTTTTCCTGCATTTCCCAAAACATTTGGGAAATGAGCTCATCCCGACTCATCTCCCTCCCGTCCCAAGCTGCTGGCCACATTCCCTGAGCTAATGTACACCTCTCATAGGCATGAGGAATCTCAGAGTCACCTGGACACCTCGTGCCCGCTTTTGTCTCTTGCCCACTACCTGCCCTCTGTTCACTTGCCTCTTCCTGTAAAATCTGCTTCTAGCATCTCTCTTGAAGCTCCTGTGTCTCTTCAGGACTGTATCACGTCGTATCTGGGTCACTGCCAGAGCTTCAAATTGGTTTCCCCCCAAGGTTTCCTCCTTCCTAAATCATCTTGAATTTTTCCCAGATTACCCTTCTTCAGATACAAAAGATCATTTCACTGCTCGGCTCAGACACTGTCAGTGAGCCTCCACCAGCCACCAGATAGAATCCAGGCAGGAGCTTTACCCAGGCGTGGAGACTCCCTGTGCTCTGATGCCCAGAGACCCGGCTCGGGCCACGCTGCTCTCTGCCCAGCGCTCTCTTCACACGGTCTTGTAGGCCTGGAATGACTCGTGAAATCTCGCGTCCCAGCCTGGCGCTGTCTCATGGAGCCCGGCTCCCTCTGCTCCAGGCCACCGGTGTCACCACCCCTGCTACTGCAGAGGGTGCTGTGTTGTCATGCCTGCCTCACTGCGAGCTCCCCGTGGCTCACCCCTTATTCCCTGCACCACTTAGAACGGGCCTTGTACTTAACAAGCAGTGTGCTTTGTGGAATGGGTACTATCAGAGCCCAAGCTGAGGAAACTAAAAAACCAGATAAACTCAAAGGAATGTTTTGTCTTTTCAGCAAAACCCAAAATCACTTACGTAGAGAACCAGACGGCCATGGAGCTGGAGGAACAAGTTACCCTCACCTGCGAAGCCTCGGGAGACCCCATCCCCTCCATCACCTGGAGGACGTCTACCCGAAACATCAGCAGCGAAGAAAAGGTACAGTGTCACCTGCGAGTGTCAGGGCCCTGGAGTGCAGGCTCAAAGCAGACAGAGTCGGCCCCATGCCCAGTTCTCTGCGGTGTGCCAGACACGGGCCGTGGCCTCCCTCCTCCAGCCTGCCTGGGTGTGGCCTGCCGGGCATCCACTTGGAAGGAAGGGGCACAGTTCCTTAGATCTGCTGGGGAGAGCCATTGGTGGGCGTGGCCAGCTAGCCATCCTGGTGGAAGGGACAGTGACTCCGACCCCGGGGTCCCAGGGCTGCGGTGGGTGAGGAGTACCGCGCATGCTCGTCCTCTCGGGCACGAGGGAGCGCCCCCTGGAGACAGCCGGGGTCGGGGGGCCTGTCCGTCTTCCCCTGGGTCTTGTGCTCATGCTGCCCACGCACCGCACACACGAGCTTGCCTGCCTGTGTCTGCCTGTGTTCTCGGTCACGACTGGGTTTCATTTTGTTCTCAAGGCAAAAATAATTAGCAGCCTCTACGCGATGATGATTGCAATGGGTTCTGCAATGCTCCCTGCGGGTTTACGAACACCGTAGCAGCCTTCCTGGGAAGGCAAACAGCCAGGAGGGTTGGCTTTAAAGCGCATGGATTTATAGGCCATCAGAAAGCTATCTTTATTATTGACAATATATGAAAATGAGGTGACCCCATGTCATGCAGCCCTTTGCTCTCAAGTGGGCCAGAAGCAGGAGGAGGAGCTTGGCTCTAAAGCAGCTGGAACCCTCTGACGGCATTCTGCAGCCTCATCTCATGCGATCCGTCACGACGGGCTTCGTCCTAGCTGGCTGAAGCTCTGTCCCCTGTTGAGGACTAAGAGCTGTGGCCTTAAAGAGTATTTGTAGTGGATTGCTTATTGACCAGAATGTCAAAAGTGATAGATCTTCACTCTTCTGCCTACCTAAAGGAAATCCCTGGAGAGGGTGAACTCAAAACTGGAAAGGACAGCTTGAAATACCAGAGCCAAATTTGGGATTTGCATTCGAGGACCCGATTTCTGTCCCACCAATGGAAAACAAAACTGAGTCAAAGGGAACTGAAATTGCTGTTGCAAAAAAAACATTATTTTTTGCAAGTTGTACCTCCAGAGTTGAATTCAGCCTGACCAGAACTCAACTGAGGAACTGCTAAGTATTTTTGAAACTCACATATGCTGTTTGGTATCGTGAAGACCAGCTGGGTTAAGAAATGTGGTGTTTACTTGGATCGGATAGTTTATCAACACTGGAATTGAACCCTCAGCAGAGACTTCAGCCCCTGTCATGTGTGCTCCGTGGATTGAATGTACATTCCAGGGCTTAAACCACAGGGATGCTACCTGGCAGATTTTTCTGCATTAGGCCTGAAAATAGATTTGTCCAGAATGACCCAGTGTATAACTTTGACCTACAGTGAAGGACAGAAATAATACCTACCCTAGATGAATGATGCTGTTAGAATCAGTGTCTTTTCTGGGAACAGCTCAATAGCCAAGGTAGACCAGTAGGATTATTAAGATTTGTGCCTCCCCAGGCTCTTTAATAGGTTGGCACCTCTGGCTTGTATCTGCAAACTCATTTTTACAGAATGAGAACAAATAACCAGGCAGTGATACACGCTCAGACTTCCTAAATACTGAACCTAAAGGTGCCAGCAGAGACCACCTCAAGCCAGGTGGGCTGCCTGAGGCCCAGGTGTCAGGGCAGATCATTTGCCTCAACCCAAGGTCGCTGTTTGGGCCCAGCCACGTAGGTTGTATTGTGGCTTTTTACTCTGGACTGCCTTCAGGGTCACTTAAGTGCTGTTTCAGGAACTTGCATGCGTCAGGGTCAGCACAGGTCAGACCACCAGCGATGTGACGAGTCAGCACATCTGCTGCAGGGGAACCCTGTACTGAAAAGGCAACATTGCTATTAATTATCTGTTGACCTCAAAGAGGCATGATGTCCATCTTGTATGGTGGACAGCTAATAATATAAGAGAACAAAGGTGGGCCCCTCATGGGCGGGTCAGACTCCGGGTAACAAATCTCACTTCACTTTGCTGCTCTGTGCGTTCTCCCGACGTGAAGCTGCTCTGTACAGCATTCGTATTGAGACCATTAGTCACTGAATCGCAGGAGTGGAAGGAAACGGTGCTCCCTTTAATACCAGGATGGCTGCTAAGTGGGTAAGAATGGACAGTTGTGGCTGATGCTATGGCGAAGGAGGCTCTTGAGCATGAGACACATCAAAGCCGGAATCCCAGATGCCACCCGGCTCCCGTTTCTAGCACTGCTGGCACGTCACTCAGCCCCTGCCTGCCAGGTGATGGTGTCCGTTGTCTGTAGGGCAGGCAGCCAATGTGGAGGCCTGTAAGGTCCACTTCCTGTCCCCTTCTGCTTCTCGGTCTTCCCACCTCTCCATTCATTCCTCCGTAGGAGAGCCATTAAGGAAGCTATTCCGTTTTGCCCTCTGCCAGTCTGCTCTTCCTTTTCACACACCAGTTGTTTTCAGTTCCTTAGAGGGTGTGGTTTTTACCTTCCTGGTTGTCCCGTGCAAGAGTCCAGCGGTTCACAAGTGCTATCGTGAAATTTCACAGCCCCTTGTGGCTGACACAGGCCTCCCTTGACCTGGGCATCCATGCGTCACAGTTCCATGAGCCCACCAGCAGTTTCTTCATATTGAGCTTGTAGTCAACTATAGTGCTCAGGTCTTTTTTACATGAACTGCATTTAAGCCTCATAGCCCCAATCCTACTCATATGTAATCAGTTGCTTCACCCACAGTGCAGAATTTTAGATTCATTTCTGCTAAAAATTGTGTTTTCTTTGTTGCAACCCAGTGTTTCTCAGTCGGGTTGCTCAGACAATCTGGGAAGACTCTTCCCTCATTGGGGTTTTCCTGTGCAATGCCAGATATTAATGCCACTGGTCCCCTTTCCTTAAATGCCAGTAGCCACCTCCAGTCATTGGGATTACCAAAAATGCCACAGACACAAACAGCCCCTGGCTGGCTGGAAAGCCATCTCGGTCCATCTTTCTGACCAGTCAGGCCTGGCTCCCATCAGAACTCTCCCAGAGGCCTGTCAGCCCACACGCACCCCTCTGTCTGTTCCGTGCGCTCACAGTCCTGAGGCTCGGCTGTGAGGGGCGACCCTAGCCCTGGACACAAGGCCCAAGGGCAGGTCAGCTCAGTGCCTTCCCGTGAAGCAGTTGTCCAGCATCTGTGTTACTGTTGCTTCCAAGCTTGTACGAACTCTTACTGGAAATATCTTTGTCCACATCGCTGATGGAATGTCGAGTGGAAAAGGCCGAGCACAAAGCACGTGGAGGCTGCCAGGCGTCCCCCCGGGCGACCAGCTCAGAAGGTGGGGCATCCAGTGCCATGCTGGTGCTCATAATTTTCATGCAAGGTTCAGTGTTGCTTCAGGGAAGCTGGTTACAACATAAGCTCATTAAAGCAACATCTTCCGCTTCACTGTTTAGTTGAGTCTAATATTCAAGAGAACATGGGACAAAAGGCTTCCAGCCATAGATGGGCAGTGACTTTCTACTGGAATACTGAAGCTGTTCATTTCAAATAGAAGAAGGAGAAAAACTAGCAAAAGCCAGGACCGTGAGGCTGAATGTCAACCCTTCCTTCGATCGTGTCTCTAGTGTTCTCCAGCCACACCTTCGAGACTGACTGGTGTCAGTCTGCTAAGCTTCAGTCCGTTGAGTTGGTTTTGCACAGCTGATGGTAGCCAGGCCTAGTTTGGGTCATCAGGACCGTTATGGAAGAGCATCTGTCCCGAAAGCTAATCCATCTCTTGATGGTCACTATTATGCCGACAAACAAAACTAAGCATATTTGAACATCACAGTGGGTCAGCGTGATTGATGTGTATGCGGGTCACTGGGAAAGTGCAGGTACAAAGGAAGTCTGCGCACCAGCATCACTTCATGACCCCTCCCCGTAGACTCACGTTAGATGAGTGGCGCTGAATTCCAGGTGCTGTTTGCACGCTGAGTGAGACCTCCAGGGGATGATTTGCATAATCTATCCCTAGCAGAACAAATCCGTTGTGTGCTTATTTGAACCATTTATTTGAAATGACTGGCAAGGAAAGGCATGTGAAGCTTCATGGTAAGAAGAGGAGGGGGTGAAGGGTTGAGATCAGAAGAGAGAGACAGGAAAAATAAAAAGCCTTTCAGGAGCCTTAAATCTTGAGCTGACAGAGCATCCCACAAGAAAAAGAGACCTTTTGAAATTCTGAATTCACTGAAAACTGGGGCTTGTTATCACCAGGAAGAGTTCTCATTCAGTACAAAACTGGTGCCACTTTTAAACATTTCAAAAGGTGCCTGCAGTAGGTCTGGCTTATCCAGGGTGCGGACTCATTCGTGACAGGGAACCCTTTAGGATGAGTGTAGGAATGCGTCACTGTGGTTTATATACATACTCCTGGAGACTGTGTGTAAGACAAAACGTGTGCCTATTAAAAGATCCTGGAACTAACAGTTTTTGCAGAATTACTAATCATACTCAAATTAATTTTATGTGTATATATTTGCATACCAGATTGTCTTAAAATGAGCTACACTGCCACCAAATTATCAAGGCCAAAGCACATCCTCATTACACGGGGCACACAGACAGTAGGCCAGCCTACTGGAATTAATTGTGTCACTAGCAACTACTTCTAAAAGCCACAGAGCTGTAGTGATTTAGGAGAGACACAAGAAGAATCAGATTTGAAAAACAACTCAAATGATATAACCACTGAAATATCCTGCTTCGTGTGCCCTGGTATGTGACAGACAGACACCTTTCCGAGTGACGTGGCCTTGGCAGGCACATTCGCCATGCTGTGCGTGATTTCCTGTTCTCACCTTCATTCCAGCCTCATGTGCCGTAATCCAACATTCTCATCCTCATCTCCCACCAAAGCTCCTCCACTGAGTGGGCTCTTACTCCATGCTGCCTGCCCCGTCTGCACTCCCTGGACCGCACTGCCCTGCCGCTGGCACCTGTCCTGTCCTTTCTCCATGTTGTATATCGGGCAGTCAGGCAGATAGGCCCCTTGACAAAAAGAACAATGCAGGGGCGATGCTGTTGACTCCCAACATGAAAACAGAAGAACTGAGCAGAGTAGATTCCCAAGGGTCAGATTAATTTCTTTGTAAATCGAGAGGTGGGTAGGGAAATGCCCAAACTCCTGTGTCCTGCGTTGGCTCACTCCGTGAAGATGGGGCACACTTAAGCCTGGTGCCGTCTGGGCATTCCTCTTGCTGTAAGAACCAAGTCGAGCTCCCCCTCATCACTTTGGTACCCCAAAGCTTCCTGACTGATAATCTTGGGGACTCCACACTTCCCATTCCTAATGGACCGCTCTGCTCCTTTCTTTTTCCTCTGTTTTAGATAAAAATTGGGTTTTTAATGGATGTATGCAAAGAGTTATAAAACGCATGAGTACAAAGTGATGCTAGTATATTTGTGATAAGATGTCTAATGAAGCCCCAAGGAGGAAACCTCTTCTCTAATTGTCTAGAGTGCGTGGTTAGAACTAGTCAGTCACCACCAAATATTACAAGGAATGTTCTAGATGTTTTAGACAAGGAGCAGTCTGACATGTCTGCCGGCACCCATATAAATATACCTCTACCAAGATTAGGAAGGTCTTTTCCTTTGATCATACATCTTGATGTGCATTAGGGGGGGAAAAGCTAAACATAAGCTAAACGCTAAACTAAATTGGGTGAGAAACAGACGTTTGGAAGTGGGCCTCGGAAAACGTTCTGAATCTAGAGCAGCTGCATGTGCTCGGGGTGCGGCGGGCACGCCGGGAGTCTCACCACTCTCTTGTTGTGTTTTCTGTCTTGTCCTCTCCAGGCCTCGTGGACTCGACCAGAGAAGCAAGAGGTATAGCTTACCCGCCTCCTAGCCAGCCTTTAGTTTCGACAGCATTGCAGTCTGACTCACCGCTGCAGTTTGATGACCAGGCGTGCTAATCTGCTTAGTCATTTAGTTAAAGACTGAGTCGGTAGTGGTAGACGTTACTTAGCAGCAGGGTGAGCGAGCAGGCCGTGTTGGGAGTGGACGGGTGCATCCTTCCTATTTCCTAAAACCAGACCTTGCTCTCTTGCTGATGCTGGTAAAATCACATCCAGGTGATTAGACCAATAGAAATAAATCCTGCCAATTCCCAGGCCAGGTGTTTTAAAATGATGACATTTTTTGACTCTCACCTGGTCGATGTGGTTTGGATCATAAAGTCACAGAGTCGTGGTCTAAAAACCCACCCAGTGCCTTCCTTTCCAGCTCAACTCATCTTGTTGCTTGCTCATTTTATCATGGTTGATCTTGGGAAATCATCACATCACATTTCATCTCAAAGCAATGCAAATGGCATCTCTTGCTGGTTTTCCCAAATTGCTGAACACATCTGTGTCACCTTCAGAGAGCTTAGAAATTGGAATGATTTGGCACAAACAGTGTCACGTTTTTTAAAGGTCGGTAGCATTTAGCCTTTGAAATTTCTCTGACTGCTGGCTTCAGTTTGGGTAACGTGGAGTTGGTCTGAAAACTGAAGCTAAATATTCATCTTTAGAGTTTAACTGTTAAACCCTCAAGCCCCCACTTATCATCAGACTATCGCATTTTACCTGCAGTACATGGTTAAGTGGAAGATAGAAAAATCATTTTTAGGTGAGGTTCAAAGATCCAATCTAGAAATACTTTTTTTTTAAAAAAATAGCTTTTATCTCTTCTCCAGATGGAACTTTGATACTGTAATACCCTGAACATAGACTATGGCAATCCTGTAGACTGTACGTTAATTAGGTATATCGACCCTTTAGTCTTTCGGAAGTGATAATTACTCAGAACACGTAACTCATGTGGATATAAATATTTCATGCTGCTTAATATCTGGAAGTTGACTGCCTGTCCCCAAGCACTGATCTTAGTTTCTGCACATGAACACACTGTGTGGGTATCTCTAGCTCATGGTAAGGCCCCCATGAATCATGCCTTCCTCCATGTCACAGCGACAGGAGCTGGGTGCCCATCCTTGTGGAAATGCTGCCTCTCATCACTTAGTGCCACACAGGATGGATGTTCCATTGCCCTGAAGTCACGGGCCCACTGGGCTTGGGGAGGGGCAAGGAGGGGCTAATTATCAGCCACTCCTGGGCAGCCGTGGATCACATTCTGCCTGTCCATCGTCCCCATGCCATTCTGACTTAGACCTGGCCAGAGGAGCAGGGGAGATTTATCATGAGCATTAGGGAGATATGCAGAGAATTCTTACTATAAGTGGAAGTAATAGGTTTACCCCAGTAAAGCAGACGCCTCACCCAATTTCCAGAAGTGTCCTTATTTGAGTATCTGACTCTGGACATAATCGCCTTCCGAGTGAGCACCACCCTGGGGCCCAGAAGTTGCGTCCCTTCTGCTTGTCTCATTCAGAGGTGGACACAAAGGAAGGGCTGGGTCATGGCTAGTTGCACGCTGCAATCTTGAAAAAGCTCCAGCCTTTCTCCCTGGGAGAAGGGCCCCAGGGTGTTCTGATGAGAGGAGTGTGACCCCTGCCCTTCGTGCGTCTTCTTGCCCACGGTGGTCTTCCCGTTCTTGCTGGAGCCCACCTGCCTCCTCTGTGTGGCTGGGCCATCAGTGTCCTTCGTGGCCAGGAGGACTTGTAGGGGCGCTTCCCGCCTCTGCCCTGGTGCCCGAGTAAAACATCTCGGAGGGAGACAGCCTGTCCACGCCCTCCCCGGGAGAGACCGGGGCCCCTGGTAGGTCTTCCCACCGTCAGGCCCACTGCAGACCAGTAAATCAAGGGTTCTCTGAGGAGGGCTGCCTACCGGTCTGTTGACCTCATCAAGTGGGAAAAATTTCCACATAGAGAAACTTAAGAAAGAGACTAGGAAGAAGAAGGAAAGTGTGCCATCTGTCAGCCACCCCCCAAGCCTCTCTGCAGCCATCTTCTAGATGGTTCTGCGTGAAGACTGCCTCTTGTCTGTGACGTTCCTGCTCTTGCCTACACGGTGAGCATCTCTCCCATCACAGACATGCTCTCCTGGTCCTGAAGATGCCAGTCAGTTTTCAGCGTGTGCGTGGTGGCCCCAGGACGCGTCCTGGCTGTGTGACGATGACTCGCAGTTCAGTCGCTGTCCGCGGAATCTGTGTCTCTCCATGATGACTGGAAAGGCCAGGTGGACCTCGAGTCCCTTCTGCCTCTGTCCTGCTGGATGTGGGGGTGCGGGTGATGAGCAGGCGAGGTCAGCCCTTTAGAGACCACTAGTTCAGACAGAAGGATAAAGGTCTTGTGGCGGGAAAGTCACCACAGGGGTGTACCAGCCAACAGCCGCCAGCCCACAAAAGGGGTCCCAGACCCAGTGTCTTCAATGAACTGGATGTCCCGGCTTCAGGGCCGAGTGCCCCACACCTGCCTGATGCCATCCCTCATTGACGTGGCGGCCTCCCATCCAGCCTGCCTCACGGCTGTTCAGGTCAGATGGGCACCGAGAGCCACAGGCACCTGGGCACCCCTCAGGAGCAGGGGACACACACAGCAGTAGGCGGTGAGCATTCAGGCCTGTTCTCGCTTCCAGACGTGCAGTGGGATGAGGCTTGAATGGCCACGGTGGTGGTAAAGGGACCTCAGTGGTCTGTCCACGAGTCAGCTCCACACAGCCAGCGGGCCTTGCTTCGGAGCTTCCGGAGCCAGCTGCTGCCAGTCAGGCTGCCAGCCCAGCACCACAAGGACCTGAGGCCAGGCACTCTTTCGTGTTCAGAGGCCCAGCCGCGTGGGATGACAGATGCCCTGTGCAGGCACCCACTGTCCGTCCCTCCAGAGGGTTGCACGCTGGAGAGAAGAGTGTGGCCCAGGCCACGGGGGCAAGTCCCCTTCCTCGGATGACCAGCTTTCCTAACGGTCTGAGCTTGGGCCACATGCCCAGACACCACTTAGTGACCAGGGGGAAGCCCCCAGGGAATATTCCAGGGCCTGTTGCCCAGGGATCATATGCTTGTCCCCTTTCTGACCAATCACTGTAATCCCAGGGACTAAGGGAGCCAGTTACAGTAGCGAAGGCCAGAAAGCGGTGGTGACTCTGGTTTGAAGGGGTGCAGCCTGCCTGGGGCTCTCTGTGCTGTGCCCCCCGCAGAGGGGACCAGTCCTTTCCAGCTCGGCAGCTCCTGAGCCCTGGGTTGTCGGACTTTCTCTTGAATGAGATCATTTTACTCTTGAACTCCCAGGAAGACGAGGCATCTGCAGAAATGTAGGTTTCTTGTCTCATTTCTTACATTTGGCATATTCAGATTTCCCATTGTGTGCATACACCATGGGACTGACTGACGGGCAGGCGGCTGGAGGAGAAGGATGGGGTGTGCAGGTTCCCCAGAATCACGAGGCAAGGCTGTCGTTGGTGGAATGTCCACTGGCCAGGCCCTTGCTTCCATTTTAGACACACCAAAAACGTTGTCGGGGGGACTTTGCTGTCCCTGCCCCAATCCTGGCACATAGTCTAGGCTGCTTGGCGCACGCCAAGCCCCATTTCCCGCTCTGGACACACCCAGGTTCCGTGGCGCTCTCTGGAGCCTCCCCCGCCAGCTGGTACCTAAAGTGAGTTAGGCGTTGGCACAGAGAGGACATGAGACCCGTCACAGGTGCGCAAGGGCCTGGTCTGCCAGCTCTCGCCCTGCCCCAGGCTCTGACGCGCTCCTTCCCTCCTGTCAGACTCTGGACGGGCACATGGTGGTGCGGAGCCATGCGCGTGTGTCGTCCCTGACCCTGAAGAGCATCCAGTACACAGACGCCGGAGAATACACCTGCACGGCCAGCAACGCCGTGGGCCAGGACTCCCGGGCCCTGTACCTGGAAGTGCAATGTGAGGGGTGGCTGCTCGTGGGGTCAGGGCCTGCGGTGGGGGCAGGGAGGGGAGGGAGGGGAGGGAGGGACAGGTG